GTGCAATGTGCTCTAGGGGATTCTGCTTGGAAGGACAGTTGGACTAGTCGATCTTCAGAGGTCCCTTCCAACCTCAACCACTCTGTGATTCTGTGGTTCGTTCTTCATAGTAACTTATTTGAGTAAAACCTCAGTTTAATAAAATATTCATATCAGGATAAATCTTCTTTTCACTGATATTCTGTATGTCAGGACAATGTCAAGACAGTAGCCTCTCCTTTAATTTCCTCCATGCAAGATATGGATCAACTTTCAACCATTATTTAAGCAATCAGTAAAACAACAGTTGAACCAACGTCACAATTGAAAATAAGCCCATGAGCAAACACAGACCCCAAATTAATAACTCCTAAATGTAATAATATAAATATTTTCCAAAAAAATGTTGCATAACAAAGTGCACAAACATGTGACAATAACAGGTGTTTTTGCCTATTTTTGACAAAATTGAAAGGGATCCATTATCACAAGAAATAGCTGCCAAAACATACAGATCATCTGAGGAAACCAATATTTAGAACAGAAAATGCTATGGCATTATTCAGATTACAGCTGCCTGCTGAGCAGTTACCTTAGCTGGAACAAAGAAACCATCTGCTCAATCCCAGAGTTTCTAAAATCAAATAAGTTCAGAGTGCGGCTCACCCTGGGAACCTGGACTGGGTCTGGTGCTAGTGAAAGGACACAAAACCATGTGAAGGGGCTTTTTTTTTTTTTTAATCTTCAGTTTAATTTCGGCATGACTCAGTGGTAATTCAGACGTCAGTGCTATCTTGACTAGGTCTGGGATCCCATTTAGGATTAATCTTTTTTTCTCAGCTCAGGCCTCCCTCCTGGAAGTCCAGCTGAGCAAACTGGTCTCTGAATCCTGATAAAACATCTGATTGCAGAAAGAGATGTAACATGAATTTCCTTTATTTAATGTAAAGTGTTACATATTTGGTGAGCACAGGTCTGTCGTCTTTAACTAACCACCTTATTTTTACTAAATATTCCAGAAAGATGGCCCATTTATTAAGAATAGACATATTTACTTGACACCTGCTTCTGCAAATCAAAAAATCAGTTTCTTGAATGTACAGACAAGGCTGTTTTCAGCTGTTTTGTCATTCTGACATACTTTGCAAACATGGTAAGTATTTTCTCCCCCATCCTCAATATTGAATTGCTTATAAGGAAGAAAAGAATTGTATCTCGTGAAATAGAGCATAGTGTGAGGCCAAAGCAAGAGCTGTAATTTGAAAGATGGCTCTGACTTTGCCTCCTGTTTGCTTGCAGGCTGCTTAATGGGAACAGGATATGACTGTCACTTTGGCCTTTGTTCAGCATGGTGCTATGCTTACAGCACTCCAGTTCCAATGGGAAGTTCAACCTGTACTCAAGTGTTTTGATGAATTTAGGAGTATCAAAGCTATTCAGTGAGTCAGCTTTTCCTCTTAGTATACAGTGTACCTTTCTCAACAGCAGGACAGCTATTAGGGGCAGTGGGTTAATTGTCTGGCTGAACTGCATGGCAGTGTGAATCATGTTCTGCTTGCCTGTTAAGGTTAGAAACCACTACAAACAGTCTTTACTAAAATGTGTTCAGTAAGACTGGTAAAGACAAGGAATCACTTCAAGCAAGACAAATAAGCTATATTTTGGTCAGGCTCACAAATGTTAATTTCCATTTCCAATATATCTTAGAGCAGAGGGCTTGCCAAATGCATTCCCTGTTTAACTTCCCCCAAGCTGATGGGCATTTTTGGTTCTTCATTATTGTACAGGTAAAAATGCCAGCGTGAGAGCGTTCCAAAGAAGCCACAGCAAAACACAATTATTTGGGGGTTCTAAGAAGCCCAGAAATTCTGCTCCAAATCTCTGAATGCCTTCCACTGTCCTGCTGTCACTGGATAACTTGCATACCAACCTCCCACTTATACAGCTTTTCTGCCACCTTGCCCAGGGTGCTTCTAAACAACAGCAGATACATCTTTAATCACAGGAGGTGTCAGTTTGCAGTTCACCCCCCTGGAAACTTTTGCTGTGGGAGTCTGAAGGGTGATAGAACAGCACATTTAGTGGCTTTCTCAATGATATAATTTGCTACTGAACTCATTATTATATGTGTAGTAATCCCATGGAAAGCTGTGAACAGGCAAGCGAGCAACACTGCCTTCTACCAGTTTAATTGCCATCTTGTGCTAGCTCAGCAGAGTAGTCTGTGCACACAACCTGTCCCACATAAAAGACAACGCAGTGAAGAATCACTGTCCTTCACTGAAACATTACAACATTACATTGTCCTTCAATTATACCAGTAGCTTGTTGTTTCCCTATTTTACCAGGCCATAGGAATACTGAAGACTCCTTTTACAGGCCTGGAAAATATTGTCTGCAGCAGAACTAGGTTTGGAAACACTACCAGCAGATAAACTGGACAGAGTTGTACCTGCTAGAAAGCCTATTGCTCTGTCAGCAGCACAGGTGGCTTTCCTAGACAGCCTAGACACATGCAGGACATAAACGTGCGAGAGGAAATCCCCTGGTGTGACCTGCTCCCTTGTCCCTTTGCCATGGAAAGGACAGGCCACCCTGTCACCAGCACCCAAACGTCTAAAGTGACCACAGGAGAGCAGGGAGCTGGGAAGGCTACACGTAGCTGAAGCTGCACTGCCCCTCTTGGGATACCTGGGGCTTCTGCACCCCAGCCACCATGCGCCTGGCACCCAGCCTGCTGGGCAGAGCTGATACAGCCCCAGCTTAACACAGTGTGATTTTAAACCAGCCCTTTAGTCCAAGCAACCAATCAGTTATTGGGTGTGACAGCTGAACTTGATATGATGTTGAGGATTTGCATTGCTGCAAGCAATTTGTACACAACTTGTTACTAATTGAAATTGCGTACTATGAACAGACTCTACCATAGAAGACATGAAGTAAGAATAAGGTTTAATCTTACATTGTCGTGCTTTCATAATAAAATATTTACATGCTATAAAAAGCCAGATATTTTTTGTCAAATTGCTGCAGGAGGACATCTAAGAGTCAAGTCAGCACACCTTTCTTTACTGCTGCAAAGATTTACAAACACCTCAGAGGACGCCAACACATACACCTACATACTCGCATCCTGTGATGCAGGTGACATCTCTCAGCCAAAAAGAAAACAGACAGACAGCAATATTGATTCAGCCTGATTTATGTTCCTCTCTGAGACATGATAGCAGTGCATAGTTTTGAACCCTGAGAAGGCTGAAGATGCAACACAGCATGAGGTGAAACACAAGGTGCTTCATGTATCAATGTTTTAGCATGGTAGAACATACTCCTGATGGATAATGTCAATGGCAAAGTGAAATTTAATGTAGGACCACCATTTGGGTACAGTTGTAATGTTTTGAGTTTTGCAGAAATTGTAGGCCTATTGTAAGTTCACTAACATGAAATGGAAGTTTAATTTAATATGGGTAAATGAAGTGTGGGCGTACTGATATATTAGAAACAATACTATTAACCAGAAAATTATAGTGGTCTCATGAGGTAGAAAAATAAACTAAAGAAATGATATTTAGTTAAGTTATACCATTGGGTTTTTTGATAGACTTGTTTTTACTTTGTAATCAAGTGCAACATTATTTTTTTATCATGGTTATACTATTATTACAATGCAATCTTCCACTTGATTACAAATCAAAGCCAGTTATAACTATGATAATAAAATAACATAATATAAAATAACATAATAATTTAGAAAAACCTAATAAAATAAGTATTGCCATAGATTTAACAGGTGTAAATGAGTAATAGGAGTACTGTAGTAGAACTAGTTACTCCCAAGATACAAGAGGCATCCCACTAAGGTCTAGAAAACACTTGGAAAAATCATTATGGAAAGCAGATAAAGTAGAAGTAATGCATATGTTAAAAGGGTTTCATCTTGGAAGTTGTTTTTACCATGTTTATATGTGTCAACATCAAATTGCAATGCTGTGTCAAATGAATAAATTTGTTCCGCTGCTGTGCATCTTGGATGGAGACAGATTTTAATGGTAAAGTGAACTAACAACTTCTGGCTTCTGGTGTATTGAGATTCAGTTTTTTTGCATTCATTTTAGACAAATTGATCAAAAGGAATCAACAAATGGTTAACTGGAAAATTCAGTAATTTACCTAAGAAATTAGAAATGTGCATAACAGAATGAGAAGTAGACACTAGTCAGAACAAACACAAGGACATGAGACAAAACTCTGTTGCCTCTTAAAACCAGCCATCAATATTCATAGGTGTCAGGCATGCATTCACAGCCTTCTGCGTCCCAGTGGGTGCCAAATAGGTATGGTAAAAGCCTGTTATACAGGCTTTTACATATTTCCATATCTCAGCAACACCAAGACCTTCTTCTACAACTGTTGCCTCTGACTGTGGATGAAAAAAGATGTCTATAAAAACAAACAAAACACCTAAATACTTAACTGAAGTAAACACAACACAAAAATATATACATACATCAGAAAGTAGAAACGGATTGGTCAAGGTAAAAACTGGTCTGTCCTGATACCCCCAACACAGTTGGAAAAGACAGACTGCTGCCAACATGTCAACAGGAAGAGAAATCAAGCCACCTAAGAAATAACAGAGAATCAGCAGAATCGTATCAAGCATCCTGCCTTGCCCCTAATATCTTGTACTTAATACCTAATAGAGGACGTGGTTATTTAGTGTTTGTGTATCACTAGTTGAACTTCCTGTAGACCTGAATCTTTTTCACCTAGGAATGGAGGTGGCATCTCAGAAGAGAGAGTCCCTCACTAAACCTAATATTGTTATAGTGTTTATCAAAATTCCTACAGGAATAGTAAAGTTTTCCAACCACAAGCCTTATTAAAAAGTGAAAACACAGAGGAGTCTGGAAAAAGTATAATATATATTTGAAACTAATACCTGAAACCAGAACGTTGATATAGCATGTATTGGTAATCACAGCATAGGCTTCATGACAGGCTCATACACAAATTTGCCTCAACTCATTAGCATATTTAATGGAAATTTTGGCAGAAAAGCTAGTGAGGATACATTTTGTTTCTCTTGTGAGATGTCCATTCAGAAAAGGATTGTATTGCGTCAATGAAACAGCGTGCAAATTAGTGCAAGGCAGAGAAATTGGCATGTGACCCCTCTTCCATCAATGTAATTTCCATTTAATTACCACACAAGCAGATGAATCACATTAGAGCCTCTTTCCCAGCATGGGCTGATAAAACAAAGCGAGAACTTAATGCTACTGTTACCATTAGGTCTTCAGGAAGCAAACTACCCTATAAGGGTATTTGAGTGTATTTTAATGAATATTAGAGAACTGTAGAGCCAGGATTTCAAGAGGTATGTCACATGAATTGGAGAGACGTTAAAATCATAATTTGCTGAGAAGAATTTAAAGATATCAATTCAGCAGACAGATGTGAAAGGAAGTAGAATAAAAAATCGAGTTAATTCTGAGTTAATTGACCCAATACTGGAAACATTCATAATTCAAGCAAATATATTACATTGGTATATTTATCTTACAGTATATCCAAGTGCTTTTCCAAGATTTCTCTTGCTTCTCTTGTTATTTCTTTATGCCTTTTGAAAAGCAGATATCTATATATGTATTGGTCTGAAAAATAACAATGATTTTTCCACAGTTTTAAGCTCAAAAGACTGGTTGGCCCACTACATGAACCTCCTCTGAAAATGTTTCCTTGGGGTCTTGGCATGTCACCATCACTTAGGTGGAGCCATTATACAAGAAATTATGATACTATTTTCTCAATCATGTAAATAACATTATGGATACCATATGTTGAAAAGAAACTGTAGTTATTTTCACAAAATTCTACCCATAACACAGTACAGTAGAAGCAACAAATATAATAAGATGTACTCAAAAACACCAAGTAGCAGAATGCTGGCATGAAGCATCTATCTACAAGCAACAACAGACTTCTCCAGTGAATACAGAGAGTAATTTCCACAGAGAACAAAGATGAGACAGTTTTTCAATTACATGTTAAGTCAGGAGTGAGTATAGAAATACAGCTGACCATCCGTAGAGTCCTTCTGCATTTCCCGTTATGTTCTCCAATATCTGCAGCTGCAGCCAGCACAGGAAAATGAGCCATATGTTAATCTTTACAACAGACTGCAAGTAGGACTGTTCCTGGAAATTGTAACTGCTTGTTGGCAAGTGCTGAAAAACACATGCGACTAACTAGTTCCTCATCCAAATTTCACTCTGCTAGGGTGAGTGAGAAGAGATAGCAAGAACTCGGCATGAGATAATATATTCTAGATATTTGGTGTGTGAGCGTGTTACTAGATTTAGCTGCAAGCAGCTTCTAGGAGAGGAAGCAGGGGACTTTATGGGTAACAGAAAATAAAAGCCATAACTGGTATGGTGTATTCAAGATGAACAAAACCAATGAAGCTACCAAGATGCACTCCTCTGTGACAGCTCTGATCAGCATTGTGCGGTCACTTCTGATTTTTAAACTCCTTGTCACATATTTGAAGTTTCTAAGTGCAGGATATTGTATTTTCCACATCCCTAAATTAACTTAATGTTTGGATAAAGATTAGGAGGAGTTACTACCCTTTTCTCAAGTTACTATCCTTTTCTCCCTGCTATTCCATGGAATTCTCATACTCTCTCTCTCTCTCTCTGTTTACAAAAATCAATAGAAGCAAATGTCAGTCCACACGCAGCTCCCTTGCTCGCTGAGCAGATGCTGCTGGAGCATCAGGCTTTGTGGTGCAGCTGCAGAGGCGGTGCTCATATTAGCTGGGTCTCTCTCCAGATGGTCAACAGATTCTGAAAATGAGGAAGGCCCAAGCTACAGCTGAAGCTAAACTCAGGTGAGGTTTGCAAAAGGATACCTAAGCTGGGACTAGCACCCATAACTCAGATAAAGTCCTTGCAAGAAGCTATCTGAGGTGAATATGTATATATATATATCTATATCTATACATATATATCTTAATAGATTTGTTATACATAGTATGTACATATTTTTGGGTATATATATGTGTACAATGATATATACTAAAATGAATTCAGCCTTTGTCAAATGTCTGCAATTCTCATTAAATCATTTCCCTCTATTTAAAAAAAATAAAAATGTTTCAACATACCCAAGGAAGAGTCTGTGTGGCCTCTGGCCTAGGGACCCAGAGGTGCTGCTGTTCTTCCTCCCAGATGAGGCTAAATTTGTCTGTGGGAAACACACTAGCTGTCTTCATTTGACTTGTTATCTTGGCAATCCACCTGGCACCTTTACAAAGCAGCAAGTTTCTCTCTCAAGTAGTTTATTGTTATAGGGTCTATATGTTTATATAAAATAATTCCATTTTTTTCTCATTGTCTTGTATCAATTTCTGATTTGCTACAAAACATGTAAGTTTTTATTTTTTTTCAACTAACCTCATAAAAGTTAATTACAATGAGGCAATGAGCTTACAGAGCTACTGGTGGAGCTAACAGGCTACCGTCATAAAAAGTAAACAAAGATTCATGCATTTTAAAGCACATTTAGCTTCACTGATCTAGAAGCAAATTGGGCATGAGAAGATTGCACTGACAGCATTAAAACCACTGCTGTATTTAAACTGAGATTAGTTCTCCTGTAAAACAGAAATGTAAATATACACACTCTAGGTTTTGGGACCCTGTGAATTTAAAAACCTTTTGCATTTTCAAAAAAATAAATAAATAAATAAATAGCAAAAGGGTGAATTTAAAAATATAACTGGATCTACATCCTTATTTGCATTAAATAACATTTAAAGGTGCACCATTCAACATCATTCTAATGAGCCATACTTGAACATGCAAGATTTGTTTTGGATGGGCAATTCTAAAACTACACTGTGTAGGCAAGACATGCCTGTCCAATTTAAAGTCTAAAATATGAAAAGTAGCTCCCTAAATGAATGCAGCATACGTGCTGTGGGTAAATTAGAAATCTATAAGGCCATATATTCAGCTATCATAAGTAGGAATTACTCCACTGAGATCATAGAGTATTTTACCTTTTCCCTTCATCTTTCAGCAATTTGGAAGGAGGCTGAAGCTGGATTCCATTGGTCTTTTCTGCCACATTTGTAGAGGCTGCCAAAGAAATATCCTCTCTGAGATGCCTGGGGAATATTTTACATGGTTAGCTCTTACCTAGGACTGCTTCCAGGGGGTGTTTTGGGGTAAGACTGGAAGTAATGCAGAAAACTTGCCTCCATTTAGCAAGTGCCCACCTGAATCTCTGTATCAGAAGCCTGCTCTGCAACCTACTCTCCTTTCCAGTTACCTTCTGACTTTATTTCAGACCATAGCCCTTAAATAGTTTAGAGATGATGACTTGTGACTTCTTGTGCTTCATATAGCTGTGACAGTGGAAATACTAACAGATTTCCCCGGATAAAACTGCTAAGAAGAAGCAACCCAGTTTACTGAGTTTTGAAGGAAAGTTACAAGGCTCATCTACTTCTCTTTACAAAGTACAAAGGGACATGGAGGTTTTGCTTTTTTCACACCGCAATGTTAGAATTTTCTATTTAAAAACTGCTGCTTGCAGGAAAAGTTGAGGTTGGCAAAGATACGAATTTTGGATTGGTAATAAGGTACTCAGAGATTTGTCATGGCTTTCTGTTGCTACATGCTGTCACATACAGATCCTGGCTTCAGCATCCCAACAGCAGGCAGACCTGAAAGGAAACAGAATCTGGAAAATAGAAGATATGACTGCAATAGCTCTGTCTTACTAATACCTGGTAGCAAACAACAGGACACTGTGAGTCAGAAAGTCCTTTTAACTCCTTATTCCTGTGAGATCAAGAAACTCTCCTTAGAGTTTGTGGTTTCATTTTTCTATTTGGATCATGCAAAATATAATTTATTTTTCTAAGACGAATTTGCTGCCTCTGCCTTTTTGTTTATTTATTTAACTCCAACTAACCAACCAAACAAAAAATCTCAACAGTCTCAGCCAATCAAGGGCCCAGAGGAGATGGACTTTCTCTTCTTCCAGCAGGAAACAGAAAAGGAAAAAAAAACAGGGAGCACCAACCTCACAAAGCCAACACAAAGGTTAATCACAAGCAGCTTTTTATCCCAAAATGCATAAGCAAGTGAATGTCCATTGAAATACTCTTTAGGATCATAAGCAAGTGAATGTCCATTGAAATACTCTTTAGGATCAGGCCCTGCAGACTGAGAGCAAATTTCAGGACTGAGCTACATATTTTGCACCTCACGATGTTACATTATCTTATTGGTACTGGTGCCAGCTAATTTCTCTTACCTACAGGTGTCATAAAGTTTTAATGGGAGAGTTGCCCATGCTTAGTATGATGGTGCTGAAAACTAATAAGCTGAAATGCCACGAAGGGAGCTGCATTGCAGTGGTAGAGATGTTCTTATACTCAATAGAGATCAGTAAAACATCTGGGACCCTTGTAGATGAAGGATGCTGCTGTAGTTGTGCCAACAGCTACAGACGTGACCATGCACAAGGAGCGTAAAGGGGGCTGGAGGATGCAGAGAGTACTCTGGCAAAAGCCCCAGGCTGTCTGAACTTGCTGCCAATGTTCTCACTGACTTCAGCATGGTCAGAATCTTCCCTGCTATATTTTGTAGGAAACCATTCCCCGGATCCACCTGTGAGCACAAGGGGAATCACACAATGTTTCCCTACCTGAAGCCTGCTACAACTGATCACAATAAATGAGGCAAAAAAAGTAATATTTAGAAAATAAAACTGAGGATGTTCTTTAGCATTCTTATTTTCTATTTTTCTACATTAAAAAGAAAAAAAAGAAAAAAGAAAAAGACTTCTCTTTTCTACTTGACAACTCACCAGCTCACCTTTAAGCTCAGATATACGAATTCATTCTTTCGTGCAGCATTTTTCAGACTAACACAATTGATTTTGTTCAGGTCTTTCTGCAAGAGGCACAATCTACCAAAACGCCTGTCAAGCCCCCAGGATAAATTATGAGCAGCATCCCTCACAACCTGTGAAAAATCAGGGCCACAAGCACATTTACCTGAAAGGAAGGGATTAACTCTGAGCCTGACAGTGCTGCAATTTGCTGAGATTATTGAATAGTGCATGTGTGGATTGCTCACACCTGAGACCCAGCACCACCAGAGTGCTCTGGCCTGGGATGCTTGCACAGCCATTGGCACCTTTGTGGTACAGCAGCTCTCTCAGATGTGCATCCCACTCTTGGGTGTGTACCCAGGAATTCTGATCCCCTCACTCTCTCCAGCGAGCTAAAGTTTAATTAAACCTATAACGAGGTGATTCAAAGGGTGTGCAATCAATAAGCACTCTAGCAGCCCAGAGAAAGCAGCTATGCAACCCTCTGTGTGACCAGGCTTCTTGATCAGTCACCAGAAACAGTTGGATGTTTTTTGTGCTGTGTTCAGTCGTTGCCGGACTACACAGCCCAAGCTCCATGCACAGCAGCGTTATCCCCAGCAGATAGGAGGTTGAAGGCTCCACTAACCCATAGCAGGCAAAATAGCTGGTTACTTAACAGACAGAGGTTAGGAGAAGCAAAATAACATGTTTAAGAATGAGAAAAAAAATATTCTCTGGTGTTTCCTCCTAAAGATGGCATGTGGGCAAGATCCTCTTGTCAATGGAAATGAACACAGGGAGGATAATAAAAAAATTTGCTGCCTACACTGAGAAGAAGGATGAAGACAACACTGAACAATATGCAGGCAGCACAGAGCAGAGAAATAACGAGAAAGAGGCAGGTGGTTAAAAAAAAACAAAACACAAAAAACAAAAAAAAAAAAAACAAACAAAAAAACCACTAATCATTCTGCCTCTGTATCTGACAGCAGAAATTGGTCTTCAGAACCCCATAAATTGATGCTCCACAATGTGGATTATAGGTGAGTTCAAATTTGTAACAGGGACCTGGCACAAAATTTCCAGGCCTTACCCACAGCACATAAGAAGAGCAGCATTCAAACTCTCTTAAAGTTGTCATTGATTTATGTCGGGAAAATCTTCTTTGCTACATCACCCTGGTCCAGAGCTCAGCAGCATGGGAAGCAAGATTAGCAACCTGAAGCCAGGGCTCCTCTGCTCTCCTGAACAATGAGGGAAGGCTCACTGTATGCAAGCAAACCTGAGCAACGCTGGAGTGATGGGCCAGAGGCTTGCAGGGAGCAGCTGAAGGATGCACAATTCAGCTCAGAGTGAGAGCTTGGACATAGCTACCTTCATTGCTATCAGAGACAGATGTGGTGATCTCCTTCCTTGGAGGATGGCAGTTGCTGATCACAGAAACTGGGTTCTTGTTAACACAGGCTCTGGAAATTTGGCCAGTTTATAGCACATGCCTGCATTTATTTTCATTCAGCATTGGAATAAACATAAGAACTTTTGAAGATTTATGAAAAATAGAGTTATGTTAAAATTAAACATGTCCAAGACTGAAATTCTACTTTATAGATTGAAATAGTTATCAATAGATTGATATGGCTTAGTGATTATGTTAGTAGAAATGTTTTTAATTTTTGCACAACAGGTCACTGTGAAGCAGATAGAATGGGACTCAGACTCCCACATAATGAAAAAATATTTCACCAGCAATGAGAAAAATCTTATTTCTCTTTCATCTTCCCAGGAGAAATGCTGTAGAAATGGATACACTTCTGTAGAGTCCTCAGTTTTGGCAACAAACCATATTTCATTTAAAAAAAATATTGAGACAAAAGCATTCAGAGCAGCTCTAGCTGTCATGACACACTTGCTTGGGAAGCTATGCATTCTCCAGAGCTGACAGGACTCCTGAATACAGGGCTCAGCAGGCTGATTTGGGTATGACAACCTGGAGAGGCCCTTCCTTGCTGCCTGCTCTTATGCCATGCAAGGCATCAAGTGGTGCGCAGCACAACAGAGACCAGGCTCCCCTGAGGTACAGCTAAGCAGGAAGAGGAGAGAGGCAGCTTCCCCAAGCGAAGCATTCACTTCCAGAGCACGTAATGAATAACAGCATTCATTTTCAAACAGAAAGCGCATAGAAGTACACCTTGTGCAACATAACCTTCATTCCTGTAACTGGAGTTAATGAAGCCTTGCCGAGAGCCCAGGAGGGACACTTGTGCATTCATTACAGCCGGTTATTAACAACCAGTTCACTTGTCCTACCTTGGGTAACAGATGGTAGTGCAGGCAAGATGGATATTAAAACATCATGGAGGTTGTCTGACAGTTACGGTTGGCTGCACCTATGCACTATTGCCCCACAGTACTTGTCTTGACTTTGGCCCATACACATTGCACACAGCAGAGAGCACAGCCCAGGCAGGGGCTTGTTGCACTCTGCTCACACAGGTTGGAGGGTAGACTGGAATCATCCTGCCAGACAAACACAGTAGAGACTGCAGACACAAGGAGTAGCCCTGCTACATAAACTGCACAGGGGAAAGTTGGTCTTGCTCCCACCTTTCTTGTGGCGCACAGGATCTCTGAGGATACAGTTCAGACCGATGCTTGAGGTGCACTACCAGCAAGCGCTGTCAGCTCCTCTCCCTTGTATTATTCTGAAATATATTCCTGGCTGTCACAGCCCGCTTACCATGATAATGTTTCTTCTCACTACAAATATAGCAGATGCTGTTGCTGCAGCCTGCTCACAGGAAGGTCAGCTGAGGAAGGGAAACATTTCTCCTGAGAGAGAGAAAAGAGCTTCAACACAGAAGATTTAGAGTGGATCCCACAAAATTATTTAAGAAGAATTTACAATGCAAGCCAAACTTTTACTGAAATCTGAATTTTTATGGGGCTCATTCCTATTATATTAAAAGTGACAGGCCTTCTAAATCTGTCTGTGAAGCTGCAACATGCACAGAAAAAAACAGCTCAGTTACCAATTACCATCTGCCCAAAGAAGTGATGGCAGGTCAGACACTGAACAATGTTATAGTTTTATCTACTAGAAGAAAGCCATATCCTGCAGATGTTGCTTAGAAGCGATACAAGACTACTTTCCAGAGGAGCTAGGAGCATTTCTTGCTCTACTCAGTTTCAGGCTGAGAAGCTGTTCATAAATTCAATCTAATCCAAAGTAATGTTTTAACATCATTTTTAAAAAATGTCCAAATGAACAGTCATTCTGCAGGCAGCAAAGACTTCTTTTCATTGTATTTATACAATTTATTTATGACTTGTTTCTTTGCTTGAAAGCATTGTAACCAAAACCCTGAATTGTCTCAAAAGGATAAACTCAGCAGAAAGAAAGCCAAGATACAAGCTTGACTAGGAAACTTTTCAATTACTTTCCTTCCTAGGAAATTCACTGTCCGTGCTGTGTGTCTTGTTTTAAGTAACAGCAGCTGCTTGCCATGGAGACATCATGGTGGAGCTCAATAAGACTAAAATGGAGCCTGACAGGACTAAAACTTGAAAGAGACTTAGAAAGGAGCATATGAAGAAGCCACTTCAGTTAGATGAATGGGTGCTTGCTCAGACAACAGAACAATCTGTACAGTCGTTAACAGTGAGATGTTATTTCACTGAAAATGAAAACAAGTTTAAGTCTCTTCTTTCTCTATCAGGGGGTAGCTGTGCCCACAAAAATATCTTTTGTCACTTAAATGCATCAATAAAAAAATACATCCAAATAATGAGGAAGAATAACAGAGGACAAGAATAAGTTAAATTCCTGTGACTATTTTTAAAAACAATTCAGCATTAGTAAAAGCTGCAACAAAATGACTATGAAGTACTGAGGAACACTACTGTATTTCAAAGTGCTTTGCCCTGCTCAGATGATGCCACTTTCCCCACTAGCCAGGTTTCCACTCTTTATTGTGTTAAGTCCAATCAAAACCACAAACAAGATAAAAAGGCAAAAATAAGGTATGAATAATCTCTGATGAGATCAGAAATGAAATTAAAAAGAAATGAATGTGTATGGAACAAAGCCAGCCCTCGATTTATTGATTAAAAGCTAAAGACTCCTACTGAAAATGTTTTGGGAAGATATTGATGCTAATACATGTGACCGAAGTCAAGCACTGCTCAGAAAGGGCATGTAGCATCACTCCCTCCTCTTGCCAGGTATTGTCACCCTCTCCAGTCATGAGCTGGTTTGCTGATTTCAGCTCTTCAGCTCTGATTCTCACTTGACCAGAAGCTATCAAGTTAAAGTTAAGTGGGGTCCTACTGCAATTTCTAAACATGATCAAGAACAGTGTCATCACAAGCACGCAATATTTTCAGGGACTTTGGAAAATCCTACAAGTTAACATTTACTGCCTCAAGACCATCCCTGGAGGTCTTTAAAAGACGTTTAGATGTTGAACTTAGCGATATGGTTTAGCGGAGGACTTGTTAGTGTTAGGTCAGAGGTTGGACTCGATGATCTTGAGGTCTCTTCTAACCTAGACAATTCTGTGATTCTGTAATAAAGATATTTTACAATCAGGATACAGTATTCAACAGAGAGTATCCAGGAGGCTATTCAGTGTTTTGTTGTTGGTGGTGGTGGTGGTGGTGTTTTTTTTCCCCACACTCTAACCAAAATTTAAACCTTGGGTAGCAAAAGGGAAGCTTTGCTACATGGATTCAGGGCATAGCATACAGGGTTAGCTTTCCCAGCAGAAACACAGATATGCCACAACTTAATCCCATTTGTCACATTACGTAAACAAGCAATTGTTAACATGGAGAAAATTCAATAGCAGGATACTCAATATCTGAATTAAATTTTGGTGTGTATATATGTATATATATATATATAAATCTGGAAAAGTGAGGGAACAATGAGGAAGAATGCTTTCAGATTTCACAGAATTATTGTCCTAGCTTCAGCTGACCCCATCAGTAGCAAAGCTGAGCATGGAGGAGCAGTTAATACTGGCAGTAATGCAGGCAGTTAAGCCAGATGGGAAGGGAAAGGGCCCCCCCGCCCATTCTCCCCAGAGTGTGTGAATGTACAGCTAGCAGAGATGGCAAGAACTGATGGGATGTTTCTCCAGCAGAGGGAGGTGCCTGGAGTAATGTGACCCAGAGAGGACAATGTCAAAGCAGTACATCAAAGTGACCTGTTGGAGCCCAGGTCATGGGCAAAGTGTTCAGGACCAGGTCTCAGATGCTTGATTTACCATTTTTCCAGACCACAAATGGATTTTGAACACAAATTGTTACATTAAATAATAGGCTGATCTCACCAGTTTGATATGTCAATCATAAATGGACGACTAGATTAGAAAATAAATAGCTGGAACTAAACCAGGAATTTGTCAGCAGTGGGAGATTGTTAATTAATCCAAGAGTTCCACAGTCACTAGTGCATACATACAACTGCAGTAGTTTAACTCACAGCTATGAATACACTAAAATACACTAAAGGTATTAAGGAAACCTGTAGCTGGTTGACAGCAATAAATACTGTCCTGGTTTCAGTTAGCACAGAATTAATTTTCTTCCTAGTAGCTGGTGGAATGCTGTGTTTTGGCTTAGGATGAGAAGAGTGCTGATAACACCCCGATGCTTTAATTGTTGCAGAGCAGTGCTTATACTAAGCCAAGGACATCTCAGCCTTTTGCTCTGTCCTGCCAACGGGCAGGCTGGGGGTGCAGTAAGAGCTGGGAGGGGACAGACCCAGGACAGGTGACCCAAACTAGCCAAAGGGGTATTCCATACCATCTGACGTCATGCTAAACAATATATAGGGGTGGCTAGCCGGGGGGAGGGGGCCGGACTGCTCGGGGTTAGGCTGGGCATCGGTCAGCGAGTGGTGAGCAATTGCATTGTGCATCACTTGTTTGTACATACTATTATTACTTTCCTATTATCACCATTGTATTATTATTGTTATTATTTTATTATTATTTTGTTATTATTATTTTCCTGTCTTATTAAACTGTCTTTATCTCAACTCACGGGCTTCACTTTCCATTTCTCTCCCCCGTCCCAGAGAGGGAGGGGGGAGGGTGAGCGAACGGCTGCGTGGTGTTTAGCTGCCGGCCGGGTTAAACCACGACAATACTAACCCATGCCTTGAGAGTTATTACTAGAAATCAATAGAAAAAATATAAAAATAATAATAATAAAAACACACAAACACAGAACAACAAAACCACCACAGTGCAGATGTCCCCTGCTCTTGCATCAGCACATTGCTCCATGCTGCATCTTCAGAAAATGACAGGTATCATCAAGGTGTTTGGTATGCCCTGGTTCTGCCAAGGCTACTTGCATTACAAGCACTCCATGTACACTCTGTCTGTCCTCTCAGATATTGACTGCATCCAGTAACTTATTCAGCGACACCTTGTCCTTGTCTCACCTGATCAGGTCTCTCTGCAAGATGTTTGCTGCTAATAGTGAGTGCCACCACAAAAGGGCAGAACAGGGTCAGGCAAAATGAGATGGCAGAGCAAGCTGTTTGACTGACAGCTGTTCTGCTTCCCTGCTCCCTTCCGTTTGCAGAGGGAATACACAGAGAAGTCTGCTGCAAGTGCTTAGCACATCTCTGTCACCACATAGCAATGATGATAATTAGCAATAATAATAATAATCTGGGTGTAGAGCTGCTCCAGCAGTTGGTGCTAATGGATGCTGCATCTAATAGCAGCCTTCCTGGAAACTGTGTTGGGCCACCAGGATTACACTGTTTATTTATTTTTTTTTATTCTCAGAGAGAAGAGTGAAGCCTGGAAACCTGAAGTCTCAGATGAATGTGCTAGCCACCTGTTAGCATCTGTTAACCTGTTGGTCTAGATTCATTAGAGCAAATGAAGTTTAATACCTTCTCTGATTGCCAATACAAAGAGACGATGGGTGTTGTCTACTAAAAGTAACGAAGGAATGCAAAAGAAAGATCAGACCTTCCTTTTCTTCCCCATAGCCACTCCATCATGCAAACCTGTCATTGCTTTTTGCTAAAACACCCTAAGGAGCAGATCTCCATTTGTTGTCAGAAGTTCCACTACTAGCAGAATAGCTGATACCCTCACAGGTCACACCAATATTTTTAGCTACATCTGAAATTTCTCCATTGAGATTAAACACTGCTTTAATTTCTCATTTACTCTTCCTGATGCATGTTTATTAATTAACAAAGTAATTTGTTTAATTCTTTAGGAATTACATGCCATGGAAAATGTTCCAAGTTGTCAAAAGCAAGTCATCTATTAGTCCAAGACATTTAACAAAGACTAATTGGTGAAAAATCCAGAATAATGTATCCTGCCATCACTTTCTTTGTAATAATGATCTGAAATTAACTGACAACTTGATTTTTACTTCTTAAAAAACAAAACAAAACAACAACAAAAAACACACTCAAAACCAGAAATCTTTGTGGATGGTGTCTATTCAATTTTCTGGTTATGCTTCAAGTGAAGTCTACTTCATTAATCTCATTAAATGAAAATTAAGGAAATGAACCCACTCTGCAAATTAGAATTTATCATTGGGATTCAGAGAGCTGATGTGGAAACTTAAAAGCAACTTAATCACTTGTCTATTTATTACATATATTTTTTAAGGTTACTTTCTGATTACATAAATTAAAAGTAACTTCTCCAAATCTGGAAGAGATCTATTGCATATACTTCCCCATACAGCAGCTTTTGAAGAGGCTGGTACTACAGTGTATAGACTGTAGAGAATATACAGGTCACAATACACAGAAGACGACTGAACATTCACAATTACGCCTTGAAGACATGTCTTTAGCCACAGACACTCTCTGAAGAATTCTGCTCAAGTATGAATATCCCCTCTCCCGTCCCCTCCCTTAATCACTGGTATTGGTTTGTGTGCTACCATGGCAAGCAATACTAAACCTATTAAAGTATTTGTATAACTTTTCTTGACCTCTAGCATTTTGTAAGTGTGATAAAGCCCAACATCCTCCTGGCCACTGTGATGTCTTAGGTGCTTGCAGACTCCTGTAAGAAGGACCAGCTTTCTAAAAGGTATAACTCTAAGGAGACTAAGTTAAGAAACTCTGTGTTCCACAAGAGGCAGATTTTGACCTCACAAACAGCACATGTAATGGTGGAGTGATACAACTTATGACAGACTTGGGAATAAGTGGACAACCTGCAAAGGTTAACAAGTTTCACAAGTTTCCTTGAGGCTCACTTCCATGCTGCACTTTCCCAAAATTGAGCTTTTCCTCCTCCCCATGCAAAGCCTGAATGTGGTAGCCCAGCAAAGGCTACCCAGGCAGCCCAAGGGAGTGCTGCCAATGACAAGCATGGTTCTGACAGTCCATGGCTCCTCTGAGGTAACAGCAGCTATTCTAGTTTCTCATAGTATTTCCATAGTTTTTCCAAATAAAAGCTTTGCAAAAGTCTACGTAGTGTGGTATGCCTGCAGAGAAGCGTTTAGGCCACCACCAGCTAATATTAGTGCTCTGGTAGGGAAAAAAAAAAAAAAAAAGAAAAAGAAATAGTTGCAATTCCTCTTCAGATCAATGATATTTACTTGCCTATAAATATGTAGCATGCTTTATACCTTTAAATGACCTTAAGGAATAATTTTTGAGGAACAACAGAAAATCTATTTCCATTAGTTTCCCAAGACTCAGAAGGTATGTACGTATGTGCATCACTTCCATAAATTTGCCTTTTTAGAGTCACTGGGTAACCCAGAATTTATGCAAGTGCAGGTCAATCAAATAATTCAGTATTTATATGCTATCTTTCAAGCTCCAGAGAACCAGAGGAAAATGCTAAAAATAAAATACATGTGTTGTAATTTGCAGAAGATTTAGAGATGGAACTATTCTGACAGACCAAAATAAAAGGCTTTATGCATAAGAACTCAATGGCTAGGTCTGTATCTAAATCATATATTGATTTAACTCACTGTAGACAAGTTATATAAGCTTTGGAATAATGTATGCTTGATCAATGTGTTTTAGAAATGAATCTCTGTCCAATTTAATCATTTAGGCAAGTGAAGAAGTCACATAAATATCCCTACTTTTTACTTTATAGGACAGTAAACCAATTTCTAATCAAATCAGTAAGTAAACAGAATTATTTGTTTCCAAGAAATATCAATATTACAATACTTTTCAAAGAAAATCTGAAAACAGACTTCAAAAATGATTAAATGCTATATATTAAATGGACACACACTATCTTGATACATGTATATACAAACATGATGATCAGATACAGAAACAAATGCAATATCCCTTTGTAGTATCCACAAGCAGGGAGTCCTAGGATTCAGAGTCTCAGACAGATAAAAGAGTTGGATGTGGTGGATGTTTCACTCTTCTGAAATTCTAACAGTGGTCCTATACGGCACTGTTGCTCTAACACAGTGCAGAGCAAATGCACTGACCCTAATAAAGGAGGGAAGGATCACACAGCAACAATGAACACCTATACATGTATATCTCATAGTTTTAAAACAAAGGAAGTTGTTCTCAGGTTAGAGGGAAATTGAGGCACAGAAAGGCAAAATGACTCCCTATAAGGCACAATGCAAGCTCAGCTCAGGTAATAAATACCAAGAACATCTGAGTGCCAAATCTACCAGTGCAAAACTCCTTTCTAAGTTATTGCTCAAATCCCACTGATGCCAGTGGGATTCAAGCTCAAGGATGGACTGACCTGACTTAGCGCTGGGTCAGCTACAACCACACACACATCTTTCCCTGGAGCTCTTGGTTGCTAGCTAATTTTGGGACAGATCAATGGAGAAGGCAAAAAGCTGACTCAGTGCTGCAGCTTCTCAAGGTGGTCTTGGCAATAAAAACCAACACTGATACAGTTCACGGTTTATTCCAGCAGCAAGAAAACAAGCACTGCTCCTGGCACTGCCCTGCCCTCACCCAGCAGAGCCTGACCCTTATCAGAGATCCATGGCCAAGTCTACACTGATAGAGCTACCAATGCATGATAAACTGGGCAAGGCAGATTGCTGCAGCCTCAGGGGTGCCCTGTGAAAGCATACAGCTGAAAAAGGAGGGAAGCCACTTACCGTACAGGACTGCAATGAGCGACACGGGCATGACCAGGATACCCACCAGCATGTCTGCCACTGCCAAGGACATCAGGAAGAAGTTTGTGGCGTTCTGCAATTTCTTCTCCAAGGACACAGCCATAATTACCAGTATGTTCCCCCCAATGGTAAGCAGAATGATGACCAAGATCAAGAGGGCTGGCCAGTTCTTCTCTCTCACTGACATCCGAGAGACTTCGCCCTTCTCAGAGGCATTAAGAGGATCAGATGTAGGCAAACTCTGATTCAGAGTCAAATTGCTGCTTAAAGACCAAGCCATGAGACCACCATGCAAACTAAAATCCAGTGTAACAGACACTGTTGTCAAGCTGAGTAATATTCCAGTGCTACTTAAAGTGCTCATCATCTGGTACTGCTTAATCTGTCTCTTAACTCTTCCTCAGAGATGATCCCTTTTCCAAAGTTTGGGTCCAAATTAGATGTCGAACTTCACAAAACCTGAGCCAGAAAATCATTTGATCTTCCATTGTGAAACAAACCATACAGAAGTTAATGTGGAGCTCTTCTAGTTTCCTTGTATGAAGCAGAAGGTGACCACTGACCAGCAACCTTCAGGGAAAGTAGACTTCGCAATCTCCAGCTGATTTCCAGGTCCACCATTCTGAAAAGGAAAGAAAAATTGCATCCTTCACTGAAATCACAGTGTACGAAACACCTTTTTTTTTTTATTCCCATGCAAGTGACATTCTTATTCTCTCTCTTCCTGCTGGCTAGGATGTTCTACAGACTGCAAGTAATTTATCTTATGGGTACAGACTATGCTTACAATCATGAGGGAGAGAGGAAGAGAATCACATCAGTGTGCTCTGGCTGGTTAAAAGCTGATTATCACTAATTAAATGTTTTGTGAAACCTGCAAAGGCAAACATGAAGAGCAAAATATGTTTCAATTGATAGCCACTTCACAGATACTCTGCCGCTGTGTAAAATAGTAATTGCCTGAAATTCCAACCAATCCAGATAGCACAGCCAAAGCACTGCGTAAACCATCACCTTAAACGGAAATGTTTGAATATATTTTGCACGTTTTGTGATAAATAACAGGTGTTGTAAAAACACCCAGATATAAGTGATTAACTCTCATAATAATAAAAAACATAGTTTGTGTTTTACTTTGAAATAAATGGTATATAAGACCCAATAAATATCAGGTAACAGTGTATGATGTTATGTTGTCAATCTCTCCAAATAAGCGGATAATATAAATGCATGGAAGAAAAAAGACAAACTTTCATAAGAGCTGAACAGATATTTCTGCTCTTCTTTCCCATGCTGCTGTGCTGATCACTGGCAAACAGACTCCCACCAGCCTGCCCAGCAGGAGTACTGCCCAGCAGGAAAGTATCAGCTACTTTGTCAGGCTGCAGGATAGATTTCCTCCAAGTATCTCACATGATTTATGCTTCTTCACAAGTTAGTCGATAGAAAAGGCAAGTCAGATTATCCCTGCTGACCGCCTGTGTAATACAGGCCAGTAAGCATCACACTGCTGCCTCTGAAGGAGTCCATTAGCCTCATCCGTTGACCTAATTCAGCAAATTAAACATATTCTTAATAGCAGATAAATACTTTACAGCCACTAACATTGAAGGGATGTATCCCCTGCCCTGGTTAAATCATATCCTCAGGAAAACAATTGTTCCAACTGCTAATACTGTAAAAATGATGAAAAAAGCAGCTTTGCTATTCATTTCCACCACATCAGAAGCAGGATCCTAACAATGGGAAGAACTGTGTAGTACACAGAATAGGACTAAAAGCACAGAAGAGCTGCTAGTACAACAAGAAAACACACACTGAATGGAAGAACAGTAAGTAGAAAAAAAACATGTAATTTCATTTCTCTCAACTTTTTGTGTAGTCCACAGCAAAAGAGCTATTGTATCACTGCTTAATAAATAAATAAAAGGCAGATTTTACCTCTTGAATACATTATTTTATAGATATGTGAGACAGCAGTTTGTTATTCAGGGATCAAAAGCTAAATGTAATTTATGGGATTACATTAGTTTTTATGTAAAATAAGAAGCGCTTAGAGTCCTATAATAAAATGCTTAACATTCATGGAGGTTTTGGAAACTTACTAATGGGCTTTATGCAGCAAAACGTTTCTCAAATGAGCAGTGTGTACAACGAACCCAGATTTGCTTCTGCATTATAGTTAATTACTCCCGAAGGGTCTCTAAACCTCATATTTAGGAAGAAGTTTTGCACTATGTGCACAGAAAATAATTTTGCAGCTGCACATGCAGATGAATTAGCAAGTAGTCACTGGACCATTTCTTTTTCCAACTTCTTTAGTCTAAAAATTAGTCTCCAGAAAGCTTCAAAATACATGAGTATTTTTTCTTCATAACCCAGCTCTCACTTTAAAATTCTGAACAAAACACCCTGTTTTCCCAAATTGTCTTTCTGCAGCAAAGGAGTAACTGGCAGCTCTGTGGCACCTGCATTTCACTGTGCGGGCCACCCCTAGTAAAATCTGTGGGAATTTCTGGGACTCCAAAAACTCTCTTTGGCTCTGTGATTCTTGGGCACTCTCAACCATGTCACACTAGTATTTTCTCAGGACAAGCAGAAAGTTCATGACCAAACTTGATGATATGGTCAGGACAGTGGGACACTGAGCCTTGGTCTCACTTCTTCCTGGGTAAGAAGTTTTGGAGAAGGCAGCACTGTCACAGCTCTCACTGGTGTGAATGAGCTCGATGCTCCTGGCAAGTGTTAGTGGAGGCTGGCAAAAAAGCATAGGCAGGGAAATACCTTAAATCTATGTAAGATCAGATTCCTGAATTAAAAATGTCTGATGTTATAAATGCTCAGGGCTGAAATCTGAAAGGTCAGTCTCTCATGTATTTCACAAATGTATTCTCGATAATATTTTCTTCCATTAGTGATGCTACATCACAGCAAGAGTTCCATATATAGGTAGTAAGGAGTTAAAAATCATTAGGCAGAATCATCATTTACTTAATCATCAGTTATATTGTTAAAAATAAAACGTATACTATTTGGCTACTAATGTGCCAGCAGGATGGAGTTCAAAAAATATAGTAGTCACCAAATAGATTTTACTTTGAATTAATATTCTCAGGAGAATACCTGTTCTTTAACAGGAAGATAAAGATAAGAAAGGGAGACTTCAAAACTCATTTGTTTGTTCTAAACAAGCAGCTTATCAAATACACACAGAGACAGACCTTTAGTGAAATGCTTTCTACACAAAGTGAGTTCTGCAAATCCAGTACACACTAACTTCTCAGCAAGAAAACTGCTTTTTCCAAAAATTAAGATTTTTCAATAATCCTCCCCCACATGCACACTCCTCAGTAGTTAAAAATGTACACGTTTTACATGCAAGAATAAAATGCTTTGATATTCAGAACCTAAATTTTTAGAATTAGGGCTATAATGATAAAAAATAATCTTAGAATCCAAATTTCATCTTTTCTATTAAAACGAATTATGAATTCTTTAAAAAGTTGATCCATTCACCTATTATTTGGAGGGATTCATGAAGAGAATCATTACTATTTTTTGTGCCAATACAGAATTAGCAAACTAGGAGAAAATCATGAAGACACCTAAAAAAAGCATATTTCCAGGTGCACTTATACTATCTGATGTGTCATACCTGGAATATTCTATACATATGTAGAAGAGGTGTAGAAAAGAAGCAATGACACTAGCTTTATCCTATAGTCACCATATTTCCAGCTGACATGAATGGAAGACTTTGACACTCCTCTGTATGTCACCTTGTCCCCATCAGTGCTCAGAAATTAGGTGCCAGCCCTTGCTCCCCCTGACAGCCACCCCTGGGTGCAACCAGGTCACCCCTCCTTGAGAAATGGAGGAAGAAAGAATCATGCTTTCAATGGCAGAAACAATTTCTCGAACCAGAGCAATATCACCTCTCACTGTGACTTTCCCTAAACTGAGCCATCATCAGGTCTAGCATAAAAAGCGTCAGATCTTCACCTCTTACCTTGCCATAAACAGAAAGAAAAACATTAAATGGAGAACAGGTGAATTGTAAGTCTTAGCATATTTTCAAGAAAAACCTTCTACTAGCATCTATATCCTTATCAAGTCTTATTGATCCCCCTTTTTTCTATGTTGCCTTTATTTATTGTTTCATTTTCAGTTCTTCTGGCTGCAGAATTATTGTTATTCATCCCAGAATAATATCAAGTTCTCTAGTAGCCAGAATACCCAGAGAGAACATCAGGATAATGAGGGTTTTCAAAAGTGGTATAGATTTTATCCAAGGCTACAATGGTTAAAATAAATAAATAAATAAATCTTTCTCAGTAGCCTTAAATGAAGTATTTAACCTATATTCATTTTAACTAGTGATAATGGATATTTGACTACAGCAATTTTAAAGATTGGGCTCCACCTTCAGAATTAACCACCTTATTGGTACTTTTTTATTTTTTATTTTTTTTTAAGCAAGGATTCTGGCTAGAAATCAAATCATTAACTTTCTTTTTCATTGCATCCCTTAGTCTCTACAAGTTGAAACTTTATGACTAATTCCTTCAGCTACAACCTTCTAAGCACATTGCTGTAGTATAAAAATAATTCACGTTTTATTCATGAATTCTATATATATTTAAGGAACATCTCCATAATTTTAAAATAAAACCTGCCTAACACAGATTTTTTTAATAGCTAACTTTAAAGCACATATGCTAAATTTTGTGGTCAATCATCAATTTCAGTTCAATCTACTACTGACAGTCCTAGGATGATAATTTAAATATTGAGCTAAGCTGAATTCTCGTTTGTTCTTCTCTTGCATTTTGATAGAGGTGAGTAACGATTAATTGGGGCAGATTTTTCTTTCTTTCAGTCTTTAAATCCAGTTTAGAATCAAATGAAGCAAAACAAACAAGCAAACAACCAACAACAACAAAAACAACATTTTTGTTTCCCTACTATCAAAAAGACATTATTATTCAAAACAAGAGTTGGATATGCTGAAGCTTCCAGATACCCCAGAAAGTTAAATCAAAAGGAAACAAACGCTATGGCAGCTCCTAAGTCTGTAGTGGTAGGTAACTGGGGGGTTCACTCACCTTTGGGAGTGTTTACCACTATTATTCTGTCACTAAAAGGAAGAAATAGAAAACAAAATCTAACTTTGTTGGAATAAAAATTATTTCTTTTTCTTTGAATTAAAAACATCCATCTTTAGCTGTTTTACCCTTCCAAGCTCTTTTTTTTTTTTTTTTTTTTTTCCTGAAGAAAATCAACTGCCTGCTGAGAAACTTGAGGCGTTCAACAGCCCCCAGCCAACATCCTGCCTTGTCTGGACAGACCATGGAGCTCCTCAGCAACCATATATCATATATACTCCAATTCTTTGGGACTCATAGCTTGATTGTTAACAATATATATTTGAAATCAGGTAGGAAATCAAATATTTAGCCTAAAAAAAGAACCAGCAGTCTCATGGAGACTCGGAGAGGAGAATAATATGTTGATTCATAGGAAGCATTGTGGTAAAAAACAGAAGTACGTCATGATCAAAAGTGATGACTTTTACCAATTTTCTCCTGACAAGGAAAAATAAGCATTGTTCAGGGGGTTATC